CACAGTAACTAAATGCTAAAACTAGCAAAACAGTAGCTAAATACTAAAACTAGCAAATTAGTAGCAAAAAGCTAAAACTAGTAAAACAGTACCTAAATGATAAACCAGCAAAACAGTGGCAAAAAGCTAAAACTAGCAAATCACTAGCTTAAAGCTAAAACTGGTAAAACAGTATCTAAATGCTAAAAACAGCAAAAATAGTAGCTAAAGTTTAAAAATAAAGTATGCTGAAAATTATTTTAATAAAAACCACAAATGTTTTAAGGATTTAAAGAAATCTCAGGGGAAAAAATAAATAAAGTTTAATATTTCAAAAAGTATAAGCATTCACACAATAAAAATAGTTAAATAATGGTTTTATCTGACTGACGAGCTTCATTTAGATTAAATGATAAATGTGGTAGCAGCTTCAAAGGTGGGTAGGCAGACATGAGGGGAGATTAATGTGCATAACCTAAAATATAGATGACCAGATGATCTGACTGAAAATTGTTGGATTGTATACCAGGATTATTGAGCATGGACTTTTTTGGAACCTAAAATATAGTTTAGCAAAATTAGCAGGGATTTAAAAAAATGGCTGCTCAACATGTGGTCATCTGGTTTGCAGGCCACTTGGTTGCACTTGCCGACACTCAAAATTTGGAAATTTTTCCTATTTTCTCATATTTTATGACCAACTAGGCTCCAACAGTTGCATCCCTATAAGACTTGTGGTCTAAATATAAAAATCTATGAAGAACACACAACTTTGTGCAAATCACCTAGGCCCAGAATTTCTCTGAGGTTCCTCATGGCGTTGGTCATCTCTCCCAGCCGGGTGTAGACCTTGTTCATACATGGATAAACCCCGCTGATGGAGGAAACATCAAACAGCTTCTGGAAATGAGACACCATGGATTCCAGAGTGTAGCGAGTGGGGCTCCTGAGCTTCTAGCGGAGCAAACGACAACGTGTGAGGACTTCAGGGTCAACAGAAACACTTCGGGTGGCTTCAACCAACTGCTGAGCATCAAAGCACAAGCCAACCTGCTGATCGTCTGCAGAAACGTTCTCCAACAGCGTGTCCACCAGCAGCATCATGTTCTCCACCTTCACAGCTTCGGCACTGTTAACGTCAGAAGGCTGCCCCGGCATCAGTCTGACAGACAGTTTATTGATGCTGCGCTGCAGCTCCTGAACACAACGCAAACACAAAATGAGTGCATTCATCTTAAAACAGAACGTGGAGATGCACCATCAGATGGTCGAGCACTGACCTTCAGCAGCTGGAGCTGCTGGGCCCACTCCTCCAGCGTTGGCAGGAGAGCCCGATAGTCTGGCAGCTCCAAACCATTCATGGAGCGTTTGCTCCTCAGCCTTAACGGGGCATTGGGATTGGCAACAAGCGCACTAATCTCAGTCAGCAGCTGGAGTGGAGAAAATGATCCAGACATGTCCCAGAGATGGTTTTAGAAACAAACAAGGCAGGAAGAAAATTACGTACCGTATTTTCCGCCATACACGTCGCACCGCCGCATAAGTTGCATCCGTTCAAATACGTCTAATCAAGTGGAAAAATACATAAATACGTTGCTTCGCCGTATACGTCACATCTATTATGCGTCACCGCTGACATCCCGGAAATGTAGGCCGTTGTTGTGCAAAAAATCAATTGGCTGCCAAATGGAGGCAGCGGGAGCATACACGGGAGGACTTTAACAAGAATTTAACGAGATTAACGCTTAAAAACAATTGTTAGTTTGCTCGACTTCATAGTAAAGGTGTGTCTCAGTTGAACTTTTACTTAATAAATGCACTTTAATGGTCAAATTAGCTGCATTTCGCCGGGGCGGCGCAGCGAAATTAAGCTGATCTGACCGTTGCTCCAGGCGAGCTGGAGGAAGGTGGCAAGCTATGGCAAGCCGATTGTGTCATTAATAGCCACTTTTACCTGATACATGATACAACGGCATGCCATACTACTCGAGTGCCATCTAGCGGCTGAAAATGGTAGTGTTCAATATTTTTAATGTCAGAATGAATGAAAACGATCATATCCCAGTCAAAAATTGGTTTATAAATATGTGAAACAAAAACATAAATAAGTCGCTTTGGTGTATAAGTTGCAGGGCATGCAAATTATGCAAAAAACTGCGACTTATAGGCAAAATAATACGGTATAGGCATACCTATATACAGTAGTCCCTTGCTACTTCGTGGTTTGACTTTCACGGACTCGTTCTTTCGCAGTTTTTCAAAGATTGTCAACTTTAATATTACTTAAAAGATTTGGATGGTACAGATAAAAAGTTAACGAAAAAAATACTTCGGACAGGCGCCACCATTTTGTAGTTTCAATAAGCCTACAATGTATGGCCAGTCAAAAAAAGAACTACATTACCCAGAAGCCAACAGTGCTTTCAGACGCTGTTTTCTGCTGAAATGGAGGGAAAGTTTTGATACGATCCGAACCGGACTAAAAAGTTCGGTCCTTGTTTGTAGTGACTTCGGCGCTCAGTGACTGCAGAGAGCCGATCAGAACTGGACCAGAACTACTTCCAGCCTCATCAGCCAATCTGGTGCTGCTTGCCGACCCATGAAGCCTCTCAAGCCAGGACGCGTTGCTTGGGGGTCCAGTGTCTTCTCCGGAGCTCACCTGGACTTTGTCCATCCTGATTTCTATCTGGACTAGTTCGGGACCGTTGTGCGGTTTTGTGCTGGTTCTCCGAAGGTCCAGCTTGGTCACCAGCTGGTTGTAGACGGAAAGAACCGGACCAAGGCTGGTGACCAAGCTGAACCTTGGTGGACCAAGCAGGACCTTCGGAGAGCCAGCACAAAACCACACAATAGCTACTGTACAGTACATATACTGGTACATATGTTGTTAACATTTACATAGGTTTACGAGTTTAGAACATTGCAAAAGTGTGGGAAGGGTTTATAAAGCCTTAAAATATACAGTATATACTATAAATACTAAAATAAAGATAGTGTTCCTACTTTGTGGTTTTTCACTTATTGCAGGGGTGTCCGGAACGTAACCCCCACGATAATCGAGGGACTACTGTACACACACAAGTATACATGTAAGAAAAGTACACATTTGTACAAATACACTTACGTGTTGGTAGTGGAGACACACTCTAGTGTCCCTGAAGTGGTCGGTGACGTCATTACTCTCACTTGGGTTGTCTTCTTTAGGCAATCTGGAATAATATTTTGTTCTGGGTGGGATTGAAGTCAGCAAACATAAAAATCCAGTTTTCAGAGTTTGCATCTCTGGTTTATTACTTAGTATGTCAGGAGTCCTACATACTTTCCACATGTTTCACCTTTTGATTAAGTACAATGGGATTTTTTTTCCCTTAAGAAAACTGTTTTGATCAAAATTTTAGAAAATCTTACCCCCCCCCCCCCCACACACACACATAGAAATATAACTCAATAAATAAATGTTTAGATTGAAAACAAAGTAACTTGTTTCCTTAACGTTATAACAATTAGACAGCGTTTCACCTAGATCGGTTCCCTTGGCCGGGCGCTCCTCGTATTTTTTGTCGACGTTGGGTGAGAGGACAGGACAGAGTCGCGTCTGTGTTGTTCGCCTGCTAGCTTAGCGCTACATTGTTGCCGGCAGAGCAGTACATCAGTAGCATTTTTGCTAGCGTGTTTTTATTTGTATTGTGCCCTGCGCTACATCATTACAGACAGTTGTCGACGGGTGTGTGTGTGTGTGTTCGGGAGGCAGGGAGCTAGGTAGAGCTGTTATTTCTAACCCGGGCCCACGCTCAGCCCGAAATTTGGACCGGGCTGGGCAAAAATAATGTGCTGGATGGACGGGCCGGGTCAGGCTTTTGATTGCATCAGCAGATGTGTGCGGCTATAATAATCTGCTGACTCTTGTTAATAAACAAGAAATTTTATATCTTCCTTTCTTTGAAATATGCTTTTAATTCATGTCAAACTGATTTGCTTGCAAAAACAGTAAAAGTTTAATTAATAAATAAAAACATTCGGGCTTGGGCCTGTAATCAGTTGATTTGGTTAGTTTTGGGTTGGGCTCGGAAAAATTGATACGGGTTCGGGCCGAGTTTTTTAGGCCCGAATGCAACTCTAGTGCTCGGTTCTGTTGACGGGGCGGGGCACCCTGCTTCTAGAATGGTAGGAGAATGGTCCGGCTGCTATTTAATATACCGTTTAATTCTACATCATTAGTGTTTAGCGTATATCTTAGATTTTTAGCGTATCGTTTAGCTTATATCTTAGATCCTTGAAATGCTGCAAGGTATCTCAAATGCAAACTGCTGTCCCTTCTCTCCATTTAATTTAGACAATATTCCTATCACTCGATGCACTACTTAGGAAAATACACTACACAACAAAAAAAAGTTAAGTGACCAGAAAAACAAATGGTTCTATTTAAGTGTAAACTGGTGCACACGCAGACCAGTAAATGAGCAAGAAGCTAGCACATCTAGATGATGCGCAAGCGGTGGCATTGTAGTTACTGGAGCATCCAGCAGTCAAACAGTGGATAAAGATAATCAGAAACAGAGGATGTTTTGTAGGTACATTAAAGCCATACCCCTTGATATTTTGATTGGGGTCACATTGTGGGTTCACATAAGGTCAGGCAGTTGTAATGTACAACAGGAGCGAACAGTGTCACAGTGGCTTGGTGTTGGAACCGATGGGCGCATGAAGGTACCACCCCTCAACTTACCTTGTGTCCAACTCTTGTCTGAGGCAATCAATTTCCTTCTTTAGTTCTTTTATCTGAAAGTCGCTTTTCTTCTGTTGATCCTGGTATTCCTGGGAGAAACCAAGTGTCACTTGTTGCTTTAAATAAAGAATTGTTCTTCATAAAGGCGGTTTGTGAGATTACCTTGAGGATAGTCTTCAAAGGTGGGGTGGCGACGGTGGACGTTTTTGTCGTTTTAGATCCTTCAAACTCTCCTTTGGCTGATCTGCGATTAAAATACGCATTCAAAGATTTGCTTTTCTTGGCTTTGGCTAAAAAAAAAAAAATTCTAATACAGCAATTGGAATTCCACAAAGAGAATCGACTAGGGAAAGTGCCGATGCAGCTACTGCTCAAAATTCAAACATCTAATCACTTTCTTCTCTACGGCGCAACAATATTTTGGGATTCCCTTTTTTTGCAATAAAATGGTGACAAAATGTCAACATTTCGATGTTTAAACTGCATAAAAAAGTGTAAAGACTTTAAAAATAAGATGTTTTGGATTCGGGACCCAAAGAGAAACGCCAAGTAAAGGTCATGAACTAATCTCCAGATATCTTCCATTTAAAGATGATGGACATATTTTCACCGTATTGTTAAAAATACGGACCGAATTTGGCAAAAGGGCCTTCTCTTACTCTGCTCCTGTAAACTGGAACACCTTGTAAAAAGATATAAAGTTCTCTACCTTGATCTCTCCAAGGGATTTTAAACAATTGTTAAGTTCATGGCAAAAACCAATGCAGACATGTTCTTGTTTTTAGTATTTTACATCGTTTTACAGTAGTCCCTCGCTAGTTTGCGGACTCGCTTTTTCGCGGTTTTTCAAAGTAAGATTGTACACAAAAAATAAAATAAAATTATACAGAACACACGATTGTCAACTTTAATATTATTCATGTGATTGGGACAGTATTGGACACTGCACAGTAAAAAGTTAACTAACAAATAAAATACTTTGGATAGGTGCCGCCATTTTGTAGTTTTTCTATTAAGTAATTTTCGCTGTATAAGTTGCTTTTTTTTTTCATAAATTAGCATGCCTGCGACTTATACAGCGAACTGGCGTATTTATATATTTTTTCCCATATTTAAACCCCAATTTTTGGCTGAGATCTGATGATGTCATTCATTCTGACATAGAAATATTGAACACTACCATGTTCAGCCACTAGAGGGCTCTTCACAAATATGGCAAGCAAAGTGTCTCAATAATGAGACACTTGGCTTGCCATACAAACCACCTTCATCTCGCTCCTGTGTACTGGAGCAAATGTCAAATCAGCTGTATTTCGCTGCGCTGCCCAGGCGAAATGCAACTGATTTGACCGTCAAAGTGCATTTATTAAGGAAAAGTTCAACTGAGACACACCTTTACTATAATGTCGAGCAAACAAATAATTGTTTTTAAGTGTTACTCTTGTTAAATTCTTGTTAAAGTCCTCCTGTGCACCTTTCCGCGGCCGCCATTTGGCAGCCAATCGATTTTTGGCACAACACCGGCCCACGTTTCCGGGTTGTCAGTGGTGAGGCATAATAGATGCGACTTATATGGCGAAGCAACACATTTACTTTTTTTTTTCCACTTTATTGGACATTTTTGGACTGATGCGACTTATACGGCGGTGCGACGTGTACGGCGGCAAGTACGGTAATAAGCCTACACTTTATCTTTGCTCATAACGACTATATTTCCCAGAAGCCAACAGTGTTTTCTGCTGAAATGCGTAGAGGGAAATTTTGATCTGATCGGAAAAAGTTCCGTTCTTATTCATACAGAGACTTTGGCGCCTAGCAGGTGCAGAGAGCTGCGTGGAAACCACTGGGAACCGAATCAGAACTGGACCTCCAGACTCATCGGAGAATCTGAGAGCTGCTAGCCAGCACACGAGGACCTCAGAGTGGGGATATGTGCCACTGTAGGTCCGGCCTCTCTCTGGAGCCCACAGGGACTTTTTCCATCTCTCTATTGGACCACTCAATTGGACCACCGGTCCCGTGCCGGCCACCCAGAGGTTTAAGAGTTTAGAACATTGCAAGAGTGTGGGAAGGGTTTCTAAAGCCTTAAAATATGTAAAATATGTATAACTAAAATCAACTTGGTGGATTTTCACTTTTTTCCCCACTTTTGTCGGAACGTAACCCCCGCAACAAACGAGGGACTACTGTATAATGTAGCTTATTTTAGTTTCGTTTTAATATCATTTATTTACTTTTCATTTGATATGCTTTTATACGATTGTCTATTGTTGACTGTGTTATTCGTTTAAAACAGGTGTCTTTTGTAAACTAGTCCTCGAGGCTCAGTGAGACTAACCTGGTAGGTTGAACGAGTTGTAATTTTAACATTATACAATCCAAAATCAGAATAAATTAGGATTTTCCTCAAATGTCCTGGTACGTTCCTGGTTTGAGAGGAAAAGATGAACTCTACCAACTTCTTATTTTTCAACTATTCAGTCTACAAGCTAAAACTCTATAACATTTACATTATTGTGTTTTATATAGTTTACAGAGTTCAGGATGAGAACACGCAGAGTGGAAACACCTCGCAGCAACGTCCTGTTCCTCAACCATTGAGCCATGAATGACAGGAGCTACCTGAGTTCCTCCAGCAGAAGAGTTACTTTAGTTTCGTAGAAGTCGATTACGTCCAGCACCCTGCAGAGAACAAATGATCCTGATTTCAGCTGATTTAAATCAGTGACTGTCTCAAAGGTCTTCCACCTACTGCTGGTCTGCTGCAGAGCTCTGCTTGTACGCCTTCTTGCAGATCCTCTGAAATGTTTGACTCTGTCGAGCTAGCCGCTGCTCTTCTTCTTTGACGGTAAAATAGAGTTTTCTCTGGAGCTGCGCAGCTTCTTCCTTCTGCTTGGACAGCTGCTGCTCCAGTAGCCGACAACGCTTCTGCGTAAAAAAAAAGACTCGAGTCAACACAAAGCGTGGAGGCGCCGAATACCGCACAACTCAAACATAAGCAACATTTATGAATAAACGTGAGCGCTCGGTGGAAGATGGGAGATGCTGAATCCTGTTCTTCACTATTTATTTGACAGTTTTGAATCTCTTCTTACTAGAATCTCAGTTAATCTTTCAGGAAAAAAGTAAAAAAAAAAAAAAAAAAAAAGGAGAGAGAGAATGTGAACACTGAGGGTTGAACGAGCACTAAAACAATGTACTGAAGAAGTTGAAATGGAATTAAAATGATTTTTTTTTTTTTTAAATAAAGGGTAGCTAAAAGCTAAAAATAATTAAAAATGCTAGCTAAAAGCAGCAAAGAGCTAACAAGAGGTCAAATTTAGCAAAAGGCTGGTTGAATGTCAAAGTAGCCAAAAGCTAGATAGAAGCAAAAGTAGCAAAATAGTAGCTAAAGACTAAAAATATCAAAAGTAGCAAAGCAGTAGCTAAAGACAAAATGTATCAAAAGTAACTAAACCGTAGCTAAAGACTAAAAGTAGCAAAAGTAGCAAAGCAGTAGCTAAATACTAAAAGTATCAAAAGCAACTAAACAGTAGCTAAAGACTAAAAGTAGCAAAGCAGCGGCTAAAGACTAAAAATAGCTAAAGTAGCTAAACAGCAGCTAAAGACTAAAAGTAGCAAAATAATAGCTAAAGACTAAAAGTATCAAAAGCAACTAAACAGTAGCTAAAGACTAAAAGCATCAAAAGGTTCTCTACCAGAAGTAAAAGCTTGGCTAAAAACTAAAAGCAGCAAAAGGGTAACTATACGTAGGCTAGCTAAAATCGAAATAAAGCAAAAGGTGGAATAAAAGCTAAAAGTTGCTAACCGCTGACCCAAACAAAGTCAAAAGTCACAAAAAAGCAGGCTAAAAGCTAAAGGTAGGTAAAGGCTGGCTAAAATCAAGAAGTGGCCAAGAAGCAGCAAATGGGCTAAAAGCTGAAAATAGCAAAAGGCTAGTTAAAATATGAAACTATCCAAAGGCTAGCTAAACGTATCTAAAGACTGGCTAAAAGCTAAAAGTGTCCAAAAGTAGAAAAAGTTTAGCTAAAAGCTGAAAGTAGCAAAGGGCTGGCTAAATGCTAAAAGTGGCCAAAAGTATCAAAAGAATAGTTAACAGCTGAAAGTAACAAAAGGCTAGCTAAAATAGAAAAGTTGCAAAATATTGACTAAAAGCTAAAAGCTGCTAAGGGCTGGTTAAAAATGTTCAAAAGTAGCAAAAGGAGACAAAACTGGAACCAGTTAACTAAATCCGATTAGAAAAATCAGAAATGTTTTTGGTGGAACTGAAGAGACCTTATCGTATTTCTACAGGGGAAATATTTGCAAATAAAAGACAATTATTTTAAAAGTGGAACATCTAATTGTCACTGCACCATTTCCTGAATTAATTAAACATTTCCCCGACACGAACAGCTAAAACGGCTCTAAACACGCAGCGGTACGATTTGAACACGGTGAAATGCTGACTCGGCGTTGTGAATAACGGAAAATAAAGAGCTCCGTGAAGAACCTGCGTCTCTCTGTACTCCAGCTGCAGCTGCTGGCTCAGGCTGTGCTGCTGGACGGCCTTGCAGAGGCAGCGGTCCTCCAGGTCCTGGACTCGGGTCTTCACCTGGTCCAGCAGCCCCTCCAGCTCTGTGGCTCTCTGAGACTGCTGAGCTGCTCGGCTCGTGTGCTTCTGAACCTCCTCTCTGACGGCACACGGACAGAAAAAAATCAAACTGGAAACCACTTGGACCGAACGTCTCCAACTGGGCCATGTTTCTTCTTCTTTAATTTAAAACTTAAAAACTAGAATAAGTTATAGGCAGCACGGTGGCGCAACTGGTAGAGCTGCTGCCTCTCAGTGAGCAGGTCCCTGGTTCAAACCCCGGTCCAGGGGCCTTTCTGGGTGGAGTTTGCATGTTCTCTCCATGCATGCGTGGGTTTTCTCCGGGTACTCCGGTTTCCTCCCACAGACCAAAAACATGCATGTTAGGCTGATTGGTAACTCTAAATTGTCCCTAGGTGTGAGTGAGAGAGTGAATGTTTGTTTGTGTCGTTTGTCTCTTTGTGTCCCTGTGATGGACTTGCGACCCGTCCAGGGTGTCCCCCGCCCCTCGCACAGTGAGTGCTGGACATGGGCACCGGCGACCCCCGTGACCCGAAATGGAATAAACGGGTAAAGAAAATGGATGGATAGAATAAGTTATCCGTTTTATCTTGTTTGCTTCTCAAAAACAGTCCGGTAACAACGTTCCTATTTGACCCTGGGGTGTATTTAATTATTGAAAAGTGTCAGAAACTAAAAAAAGAAATGAAGTTTATATGTTATGATTGGCTTCTCCCTTTCAAATTATATTCAGTCCAGAGGTGTAGATAATAATTTACTTGTTTTTCCATTTAAAAAAGGCGTTTTTTTGTGTGTGTGTATTTTGGAAAGACCTATATATATATATATATAGTTTTCTAAAATATAGATTTTTCCATAAATTTTATTCACATTTTAAATTTTTTTTTCTTTTATGTCGTGATGTTGATATTTAAAAAATATGTAGGTGAGGTTTTACACTCCACAGATCAGGGTTATTGAACTGGTGGCCCGCGGGCCAGAAGTGGCCCGCCGGTGACTTCAGTCCGGTCCACCAACGAGTTCATAATTTATTTTTTGGTTCTGGGTTTGAGTTCTGTTAATGCATTTATGCTTCAATGCAACAGATTAAACAAATTTAAAAAGGTAACAGATCATTGTAATACTTGGTTTATTTACAAAACGACTTTTTTTTTTTTTTAGCCTTTATTTATCCAGGTTAGTCTCATTGAGCCACGAGAACTCATTTTCAAGAGAGACCTGTTTAGGGAGCACATGGTGGGGGTTAAGGGCCTTGCTCATGGGCCCAGAGTGGGGCGAATGAGGGTGGGGGCAAGTGTGAGTGTTTCACCTACCTCACCCACAATTTTTGATGTTGTCGGGGCCGGGGCGTGAACCGACGATCTTCGGATCACAAGCCCACCTCTCTAACCTCTGCGCCACCACTCCCCCCAAAACGACTTTAACTAATTAATTGTAATTAGCTGTGGCCCCTTTAGCAGTTTAGCTGAATAGCCCTGCCATAGATTGTTAAAAGAGTGTATTTACAAGAGGTAAAATATAGTTTAATCTTTCCATAGATCCTTTCTTCAGAAGATCTGAACCATCCTTTTTTAAAAGTTACATTAAAAATTACTCTTTAATTCTGCTCTGCTTCTGATCAGTTGGATATAAAGAAATGAAAGAAACAGCTCAACATTCAGCTGCAAGGATGGTCGACAGAGCAATCCAAGTCCACTGGGGGTGCGTTTGTATCCAACTATTATTTTTTCCCCCATAAGTCAACTGGGTTTGTATTAATGACGGACAAGACTGTCCCAAACACACACACAGAGTCGCTGACTGATTAATTTTCTGAGGATCCAGCTGAGAGGTTTTAGAACCATGCGAGCTGGTTTCAGATCACACGTGCACTGAACTGGAAACCTGTGACCATCTGACGCTGATGGAGTTGGATGGCAGGAGGGCAGGTGGTCTGCACAGAACCACAACTGCATTATTAAACAGCTGCAGGACCGGCGGACCTGGGAACACCTAAAGACGAGCTGAGCTGCTCCTCTTGTGCCTGGCTGAGAGAACCCAACAGGGACCAGTTTAATGATGGTTGGGGTTCAAACTGTGTCACATGATGGTATTTAAATTACCGTATTTTCCAGACTATAAGGCGCACTCAAAATCCTTTAAGTTTTCTCAAAAATTGACAGTGAGTTTTAGAATCCGGTGCATCTTATGTATTAATTCTGGTTGAGCTTTTCTGCCGTACACGTCGCATCAGTCCATATTTGTCTAAAAAAGTGGGAAAATCCAGAAATATGTTGCTTCGCCATATACGTCGCATTGGTTACGCGTCATCGCTGACAACCCGGAAACGTGGGCCGGTGTTGTGCCAGAATTCGACGGGCTGCCAAATGGCGGCCGCGGGAGCGTGCACGGAAGGACTTTAACAAGATTACCACTTAAAAACATTTATTTGTTTGCTCAAAATTATATTAAAGGTGTGTCTCAGTCTAACTTTTGCTTAATAAATGCACTTTGACGGTCAAATCAAATGCATTTCAAAAACCCGATTTGCGTAAGCGAGCACGCGCAGAGGGACGAGCCATTGTTCATTTCTTCGAAATTTAACAAGATAAACACCTAAAAACAATTATTCGTTCGCTCGACTTTATAGTAAAGGTGTGTCTCAGTCTAACGTTTGCTTCATAAATGCACTTTAACGGTCAAAGCAGCTAGCTGTATTTCAAAAGTATTAGCTGCCTCGGTGCTCCGGGAGTGCACGGACAGGGAGGAAAAAAGGAGGAGGAACGCCGCGCGTTTCTTCAACCTAAAACAATTATTTGTTTGCTCGAAATTATAGCAAAGGTGTGTCTCAGTTGACCTTTTACCTAAAAAATGCACTTTAATGGTCAAATTAGCTGCATTTCGCCGGGGCTAGAGCTGGGTGATATGGGCCTAAATTTATATCTCGATATTTTATGATATATCACGATATATCGTGATATACGATATATATCTCGATGTGCTTTCTTTCCATAAATTAATAACAAAAATATATTTCTGAGTCAAAGTTTTGTCCCAGTTGTCTCACAGCCACATTTATTAACAACCGCTGTAACTGTACAAAATAAATGCCTAAAAAATAAACTATTTCCATATATTAAATAATAATCCTCTTCAGCGGGGGGCGGCTGTGGCTGAGAGACTAGAGCATTCGTCCTCCAATGGGAGAGTTGGGAGTTCGATTCCACCAGCAGTCACATGCTGAAGTGTTCCTGAGTGAGACACTGAACCCCTCATTGCCTCCAATGTGTGTCCCATCGGTGTATGAATGTGATAAAGCTCTGATTATTCTTTGTAGAGATCTAGTAGAGTGCTGTATGAATGGGTAAATGAGGGCACAGACTGTGTTGTAAAGAGCTTTGAGTGTCTTGATAAGATAGAAAGGAGCTACAGTCCATTCAGCTGCGCCACCTTCACGTTAGTCAGCGTGTGTGAAGCTGCAGCTCCGACAGACCCGTCTCCTTCCTTGAAATAAACCATGGTTCAGAACTCTTGTAGCCGTGCTGTGCCTTTTAGGAATATCCCAATATTTGAGCGGAAATAACCATACAATGCGAAACAGATGGTGGCGAGAAAATTTTTTTTTTTACATTAACGGCCAATTGAAGTTACTTTTGTTTTAAAACAACAGCAACTAACTTTGGACGTTGCCGCACTCAAACTAGATGTTAGCTTAGCGTTACCAAAAGATCCAGGCCAACACGACAGACAAAATACTTCTGCTTTTTACCTGATAAGTACGTTCTGAAATGTTATTGACAAATTCCATTGAATAACTCAGAAAGTTTAGTTTAAAACACAATTTGGTTACATCGGGTTAGCTCCGTCTCCGTATAAAATCCGTGACGCTGTTGTTCTGTGCACCAACTAACTTCTAAAGTAAACGGTGTATAAGGCCTGCGAGTAGTTAAAGTTGTTAGAGCTGTTGTCTCTCAGAGAACAGGTTGTCCTGGTTCAAATCCTGGCCAGAGGTCTTTCTGGGTGGAGTTTGCATGTTCTCTCCGTGCATGCGTGGGTTTTCTCTAGGTACTCCGTTTTTTTCCCCACAGACCAAAAACATGCACGTTAGGGCTGATTGGTAACTCTAAATTGTCCCTAGGTGTAAGAGAGAGTGAATGGTTGTTTGTCTCTATGTGTCCCTGTGATGGACTGGAGACCTGTCCAGGGTGTCCCCCACCTCTCACACAGTGATGGCTGGACATGAGCGCCAGTGACCCCAGTGACCCAAAAAGGAAAAAGCGGGTACAGATGGATGAAAGTTTGATGAAAAGACATACTTGAGATGGTTGTTGGACATAACAAGCTCCTGGATCAGAGCCTGTCTCCTCTCAGAGTCCATCAGCATTGTCCTCAGAGTTGTCCTTAACTCACCAGCTGACTTCTTGTCCAAAAGCACCAAATCTAAAGACACATGGACATCACAGACACAACAACAAATATTTCCATTAGTCAGTGCCAGCAAATAAGGATTTATCTACAATGCTCTAAATTTGAAATATTTTTTTTTGGGACAAATTAATTCACTGAACTACATTAACACAGTTTAAATACTGTATAAGGTTGAGGTCTGGGCACAGGCACGAATAGCAAAGTGGAATATTTACCGTAATTTCCGGACTATAAGCCGCTACTTTTTTCACACGATTTGAACACTGCGGCTTATACAATGCTGCGGCTAATTTATGTTTTTTTTTTTTTTTTAAGCCAGTTGTGTTACAGGCACTGTTCAGAAGAAAAAAAATACTGTACGTATTTGTGTATGTTACCTGTACATATTTAATTAAAATATATATTTTTAAATCTTTCTGTGTAAAAATCTCATGTTACAACGTGGACACCTGCGGCTTATAGACAAGTGTGGCCAATATACGGAATATTTTTTTCCTTTTTAAATTTAGTGGGTGTGGCTTATATTCAGGTGCGCCATCTGCATTTTGACACCAAACACGGAGCTAAGTATGCCAAAGTGAGCCTTCAACTCTAATGCTGTTATTTTGAGTTCATTATACTTACTAAATGTCTTTTAATATATTATGTTAAATTTGCAACAATATATTTGGAATTGCAGGTTTATGCAGGTAAATGTTTTCTATAACAAAACCATCTCTCATTAGTTGGATGTATGACCCTTGCAAGGCTGTGTGCAGCCATTTGTTGTGTAAAATGCTACACCTGTCACATCTTAGCAGCTCACAATTGTTGGTTGAAACGTTATTCTGCCCCTCTTAACTAAGTTTTGAACAAAGTTAATGTCATAACTTGTTATTTTTCCTTATTCACTTGTAAAGTTTGATCAATGATTTTTAGAATATTGTGGGTTTCATAATCTGGCAAATTAAAAGGTTTTGTGTTATAACAGCAGACATATTTTTCTACATCTATGCAAATATACATGTCATATTTGTAAGTAGAATAAGTAAAAAAATTCAGAGTTTTTTAACATTAAGGAGTAGTTGCATTTATTTTACATTACATTTAGTTAAATTTAGCTACATTTATACTGGCTTACATTTACATCTGGCCCTTTGAGGGCGACCATTACGCTGATGTGGCCCTCGGTGGAAATTAGTTTGACACCCCTGATTTAAGGTGAAGTTGATGACTTCATTATGTTATCTACTTTATGCAACGCACCAGAACCTTATCGTGATGCTACCACCACCATGTTTGACACTTGGTAGATTGTTCCTGAACCGTTCATCTGTTCTTTCTAGACTTTCACTGAATTTTATTGCTCAAGTTAATGTGGACTGTCAAATGCACATTAGCAACGTAAAAGCACCAGCTGCAGTCAGTAGTGATCATTAATAAAAACATATTAGGCTTAGTCAAATTAAAAGACTTTCTCGAACTTTCCGCACCACTAAAGAAAAGACTTACCAGTAAGTCACACGTGGGCATTTTACAGCTGGCGAACCGCACCCAGTTCATTAGCTGCATTTGCTCCGCAAAGGCGAAAAAAAAAATCATTCACCTAGCAAAGTCAAAATCTCTGCTTTAACTTTGAAAGTGGCTTTGCGGTGCTTTTATTTTGAAGGCGAGTGGACATTAACTATAGCAGCCATGTGCATTGCATCAAGTCTCCCCACTGGTATGCAGAGTTTGTGAGGTATTAAGTCATGTCAGCACAGTAAAAATATTTAGAGTGGTACAGAATATAGAGTTTTTACCACAACACATTCTTTTAAGTATTTATTTGCTGAACTCAGCTGTGCATATCTTCAAGCCCAACAAAAAATTTTTTTTTTTTCTTATTATTGAGGTAAAGAAATACATAAAAAAACTATTGTTTGTTATCGTTTTAATGCTGGTGTTTGAATTGCTAAAATCTGCAAATTTTGCTCATATATTTTTTCGAAACTTTGAATATTTACATTAAATAGATAAAACTTTTAAATAACTGGTTCAAATAGGACTGGTATCCCCACGTTGCAATATCAGCTACTAATATAAATCATATTTACAGGAAATTAGATTTGGTAGACTTGAGTTTAGCTCGTTGATAAACCCTCCACAACAATCCTAGTTTCATATGCGACTCTTTACACTCCTGATTTAAATTCAAACTTATGCACACTCTTTTGAGCTGGATGTCGTATAATAAGCCCACCACAGAAACAGAAATCAACCATTTAAAGCCCAGAATTAATGCCATTCATATCCACAGTGAGTGCATGTAAACGTCTGGCTGCAGATGCAGTTTGAAACTAAAATTCTGCAGACAAATTGGACCCGTATCCTCACCTGTGAGGTTCTTATTCTCCACGGGGTCTGCAAAGAACACCGGCTTAAAGCCATGATGCTGCAGAAGTTTATTCACCACATCCCACTCCACCTGCTCCAGCTGCACCAAGAAACAGAAAAGTGTCAGTTTTACATCAAATCTGCTGAAAGTTATTTTAGCTTTACCTGAAACTGCTTGCAGGTCCAAAGATAAACATAGGTTTTGTTGTTTAAGAGTGGAAAATGTCCTGTCCTGGCATCCATACTTCAAAACAAGTATCTGCTACTGAACTCACTTTAGCTGGTTGGCTTCTGATTATACGACAGCTGAGAGATCTAGCTCTACAATGGATGAAAGCTGATCCACCTGGACCCCCTCCCCTTCAAACACAAGCAGAGGATCATGACTCACCTGTTGCATGCTTCAAAATTCCCCGTTTCGGACGAGCGACGATTTTTACGTTGAACTCCGTTAAAAATCCGTCGAATTAAATCGATTGGCTTTTAAAAACAGCGTGCAATTAAAAAAAAAAAACTGGGAAAAGCACATGGATTATGGATGTTGGTGTTGTTCAGGTATATTCGGTTCACAAAAAAAGTAACGAAATGCAACGAAACATGATATAACTTCGATTTTTGTAGTAACTGGGTTAACATTAGCTTCTGTGGCAAACTAGGCTCTGTTACCAGTAAAGATTAAACTCGTTTCACTCCTTGTTCAGTTCAAATGAAACACCCTTTGTTAAGAAAAAAAAAAAAAAAAACTAGAACAACACTTGCCTGTTGCTCTCAAATCTCAATTCCGCCTCTTCCGGGATTCAAAAGTTTGCGTGGTGACGTAAGCACTTGCGTGCTGACTTTAACCAATCAGCTCACAAGAGGCTGTTAACTACATTTTTACTGCACTTAAGCTACAAGAACACAAGATGGCGACAACATAATGTGTGTGACTAACTCCTGGTTACAATGACAAATAAATTTCAGTCTCCTGTAATAAAGTTTTTTTTGTGTGTGCGTGTGTTTGACTCTTTCAAACATGATTTTCTTAATCAGTTAGCACTTGTAGAACGTGTTGTGAAGGACTCTCAGCTACTACCACACCAAGTTTTCTGAGTTAGATGAAAATCCATTAACTGGTTTATATTTTGCTAACAGACAGGTTATTGACAAACCGTACCAAAATTGTATGCAACAATCTCACAGAAAAAAACGAGTGATTCCATATTTCGATCTAATAAAACATCTGACTACAACAGTTGCATTATTTATCGTTTCTTGTTAGAAAAATTAGAGTTTTGAGCTTTAAATCTCTGTTCGATGGCCGAACATTCTCCTTCAGGATTTTCTGATAGAAAGCAGAATGTATGGTTCCATCAATGACAGCAAGCCGTCTCGGTCCCAGACCATCACACCACCACCACCACTTTTGTTGTCAGTGGATGCACAACTTCCAACAAGTTACACTTTGTCAATCCACAGATTAATTCTTCAAAAATCGTAGGGATCATCGAGAAGCTTTTTGGTAAATCGCCAAGTGTCATTTTTGCCCTCCGTCTTTTCTTACTGAACCAAGACGGACCTTGGCTGAGCGAAATGAGGCGTGCAGCGCTTTAGGTGCTGTTCTGGGTTCTTTTGGGACCTCCAGGTTGAGTTGTTGACAGTTTTTTGGAGTAATTTTGGTTGGCTGGTCTCTTTGAGGAAGGTTCACTACTGTTCTAGGTTTGCTTCATTTGTAGATAATGGCTATATTCTAGCAATTTTTTTTAATTTTACATCCGACAGTAATCAGATCTGGGTTTAATCCCAACCCAGGTATGTGAGGAACGCCGTCCTGCATGCGTTACTTGTTTCCCTGCTTTGAGGCACCTGGTTTGAGTGAACGGGTGATTAACAGACTCCTGCAGAACTTATGGAAGTACTGTAAATAAATAATTTAATCAGGCAAGTTGGAGCAGGAAACAACTGAAACATGGAGGACGGTGTTCCTCAGGGACTAGGGTTGAGAACCATTGATTTAGACATACAGATTTCAGATTTCCAAAAATTAAAAATAAAAGTTGTGAATAGCGGATTTTTTATTTACAGGCGGCACTGTGGCGCAGTTGGTAGAGCTGTTGCCTCTCATTAAGAAGGTTGCAGGATCAAATCCCTGCTGGGGGCCTTTCTGGGTGGAGTTTGCATGTTTTCCGGGTACTCCGGTTTCCTCCCACAGACCAAAAACATGCATGTTAGGCTGATTGGTAACTCTAAATTTTCTCTAGGTGTGAGTGAGCGAGTGAATGGTTCTTTGTCTCGTTTGTCTGTGTGTCCCTGTGATCATAATGTCACAACTGCTTTTTGTATTTACTCAGTTTATCTTTGATCATACTTGTCGTGGAATATTTAAATGCGACACAAATCGCAAAAACAGAATGCGTAATGTTTTGCAGCATCAAGATTTGGCTTTCGACAAAACGTTAAAAATTAATGTATGAACCAAGTGTAAGCATGTAAAAAAATGACTCTTTACTGATAGAAACCACTGGGGACAGCCCTGTAGATGCAGAATTTACCCTTAAATTCCACCAGGCCGGCTGTGGTTGAGTGGTTAGAGCAATCGTCCGATGCAAGAGTTGGGAGTTCGATTCCACCAGCAGTCACATGCCGAAGAGCCCCTGGATAAGACTGAACCCCTCATAGCCTCCAATGTGTGTCCCATCGGTGTATGAACGTGATAAAGCACCGATTATTCTTGTATAGATCTAGTAGAGTGCTGTATGAATGGGTGAATGAGGGCACAGATTGTAGTGTAAAGCACTTTGAGTATCTTGATAAGAGAAAGGTGTTATATAAGTACAGTCCATTTTACCTTGTAAGTAATCTCAAAGGCTTGCTGTGTAGAAAAGAACCGTAAATCTTTACATGTCTGATATTTCCTTTGGCTGGCTGGGACATGTCTGTGTCCATGTACTACACACCCTCAATGAGTCTACTCGACTAAGAGCCTCTTGCGTAGATTCAGATAGGAAAGGTCATTGTCATTTATTAATGGTTAGATGAAAGCGTAGAGCCGGGCTACTCACTGTGTCTCGGCATACATCAACTCCTCTGAGCAGAAAATTAAAATGGAAATCCAGACCTTGACTGAGTCAAGGGTCCCATTGACCTGTGCAGTATGATTTAATGATTTATGGCAGCTGATTACATCACCTTGACGCTGTCTAGACCACCAAGCCTCTTCAGCTCTTCAACTCATAAGCACTGGATGTAAAAAGCAGTCTTGTTTCCCGTCTCTACTGTTAAGATCTTTCACAATTTTATTTATTTGTATATAATGTAGAATAATGTGTACTTGAGTTTTGGCATGACGGTGCTCGGGTTAGTTTGAGCTACTTTATAAAATTAAAGGTACTTGTAAACTATGAAATCAAACAAGAACAGGCGGTACAATGATGTCCCCTGTCGCTAAAGGATTTGAAAAGTGAATGCTTGTAGTTCAGGAGATGAGTGTTCTTCTGGACTGGAATTAAACAGGGAATGCAAATAAACTATAATGTTTTTCATGCAAGATATTCAAGTGCGTAAGAGTTACACAGTGTATAAGAACTGAGGTGTTTTTTGTTTTCTTGTCTGAGCCAGCGAAGAGTGATGGATCCTGGTGAGCAGAGGAAGTAATTTTACCCACTAACATTTGCAATGGTGGAGCCAGGAGGTGGCCATTGGTGGCCTTGGCAACCATAGGTCAATCTTCGGTCACCTCACTGGCTACCCCAATCATTTAAAGGCATATGACAGTGGCCATCTTGGGTTTTGAAGTGGCAACCCAGTTTTTGAAAGGAAACTTTCTTAGATAGATCCACACACAAAAATGGAAGAGGGTACCTCACTTATTTTTCCAAGCTATCGCACTCAACATTCATGGATGGTCGAACCAACAGATGGGCTGATGGGCCAACGAATGGACAGATGGACGTATGGAAAGGTGAAAAGGGGGTACTTCCAATTCCCCTTTTTCACTCCGTGATGGGGGTCATAATGGTTGGCTCAATGAGACTAACCTGTATAAATGAAGGTTGAATGAATGAATGAAAATTTTCAGCCACTTCGGCTGTTTTTATAGCTAATCAAACATGTGCTAGGTGGTAGCCATTTACAAATTATTGATTTAAGGACCCATTAACCATCGATGTGAGAAAAAAAGTTTGTTTTGTCAATTTAGAATGGTGTTCATGACATTGCAATGACTACCTTTGACAAATGGGAGTCAGCTCAATTCAAGATGGCCACCACAGCTAACGGACGTTAGATTACATAAAATAGACTAAAATTCAGTCAGTTTTACAGATATTACATTCGAATTTGGTGACTCGTTCCAACACATGCTCTGTGCTCCTCGTACAAAAACTTTGTTTGAAATTCTGACATTAACTATTGGTGTCAATAATGTCTGTTAGCAAAATATCTCATGAACCACCACTTTATAGAAGTTTTGAGAGAAAAAAATCACTGACTGTACATCTACAGCTGAATCCCTTTTGGAGTCAGTTCAGCTTAAGATGGCCACCACCGCTAACCTTAGAAAACACAAAAATTGCAGTAATTGAGTTAATTTTACAGATATCCACCCCCCAAAAAAAATTATGGGGTTGGATTTCTCTATTTATCAAAGTTCATGCTCAATAATCCAGGTAAAAAAAATCTAACAAAGTTAAGTCAGGTCCTCTGGACAGTTTCTTTTTTTGTTGGAATGTTTCGTCTTTCAACCGAAGGATTTCTTCAGTCTGAGGAGCCCACCAAACCAAACTAAATCCCACATAGCTCACTCCAAAAGTGGAAAAAAAAAAACAGTTTGCTGGTGATAAGATGGCCTCCAGGGCCCGACCTCTCCACCGTCAACTCCTCTAAGGCAGCCATGGTTCAAAACACCAAAGTTCATGCTCAGTAATCCAGGCATAAATCCAACAATGTTCAGTCAGGTCATCTGGATGGTTTCTTTAGTTGCCGAGACATTTTGTCCTTCATCTGAAGGACTTCTTCACTCCGAGGAGCAACGAACAAAACTAAACCACTTTGTTTTGAACCACTGTGGCATGGCTGCCTTAGGGGATTTGATGCTCTGTGCATTCCGGCATCGATCAGTTTACAAACTAAGCACTGGTTATACCCATTTTTGTGTGGGCCAAGTTTGATTAGCTCTGGTGACCATCATGAATCGAGTTGTTCAGATGTAAACATATAGATATTTACTTGTGACAGTTTTATTGAAACATGTCTACTGATTCATAAAGTATTTGCTAACAGCAACCAACAAAGTCCATGCTCAAAAATACTGGTAAACAATCCAACAATTTTCAGTCAGGTCATCTGGACAGTTTCTTTTTTTTTTTTTAAACATACTGAAACGTTCCACTTTCCATCCAGAAGGCTTCATCAGTCTAGGAAACACACAACATGAAACTGATTCTTCCCCCAACAGCTTACTCTAACGTGGAACAAACCAGTTATGTTGGTGCTAAGATGTTCTCTTTGGCACGCCCCCTACTCCAGTGCCAGCCCTCTTCCTCGTCAACATTCATGTCAAACTGGTTCAAAACCAACAAAGTCCATGCTCAATAATCCAGGTATACAATCCAACAATTTTCTTATCAGCAAAAAAATAAAAATAAATAAAGTCAGAAACTGTCCAATGACCTGACTGAAAATTGTTGGATTGTATACC